CTGACGGGACGGGCTCACCCTCCCTTCCCCTGAAAGTACTCCACTACCAAATTAAGACACAGACCCATCAACTCCTCGCTACACATAGACAGAGTATACAGAGGACAGATCTCCCCCTCCCCCACGTAATATTAAGATTCTCTCCTCCCCCCCAACCATCCAAAAAAAATTTAAAATATATATATATATATATATATATATGTGTATATATATATATATATATATATATACAAACCTATTTACCTTCTCAACCAACGACCCCTATGACAACCAAAGACCAGGGGCAGAGAGACCACCCCCACAACCCCCCACAAGGGCGACATAGCGAGATCACGCCCAACTCCACCCCTGAGACTACTACCAAAGTCATAGGACTCCATAATTTACATGTATTATTGCATATTTGTTTAAATGTTTGATTTGTCTGACTTTCATTGTCTTATACTCTTTACAAACTATATGTATGAACAAAATGTCATTAATGTTCTAGTTACCTGTGGCACCCGCGCAACCTCCTCCTGGACCACTGACTGGGACTCAGGAACGAAGGCTACCAACACCCACACCTTCAGAGGGACCACTTGCGGTACGCCTCACTTTCACCATCACACTCATCAACTACGAATTGTAAGTGACACACTACAGACAGCGCGCATGGGGAGGGTGAGTCAGGAACGTGAAAATCCTTCCTCCTCTACCCCACCTCACCCTACACGGGTCCCACCAGGGACACTACCTACACACAGAGACCTCACACAAAGCCACCAACACCCCCCACCACCACCTGGCGACTGAACTATAAGACCAGGGAACACCACACCCACCAAACCCACACCCCCGCACCACACCTCGACCACACCTCTCCCCACTCTCCCCACCCCTCCCAAGGGGAAACCAGACGCCTCAATCTCACCCACCTCAGCGCCTCAATGCGCTTCCACCACAACATCCCAACTCAAACCCTATAAAGGGCCTCGTACAGACAAACATGCTTAGGACAATCTCCTGTGTCTCCCTGTAAGGGGCTCAACAACCCCGCCAAACGGCACCAACTCCTGTGATGGACAAATAGAACTGGAGCAGATATTATCCTCCTCCAATAAACACACTATGAACACACCCGTCAGTAGCATCCCTTCCCCCTTAAAAATAGGAACTATACATCGTGCCACATAGCGAACTCCCATCATGGCAAACAAAATGGCACAGCCATCCTAGTTCACAAAAAGTGTCCCATCCACTTCACGCAAACACACACAGACCCACAAGGCAGATATCTGACTGTAACAGGACACTGCTCCAACCACAAATACGCGATCACCTCCATATATGCCCCCAACAACCCGGAACCAACTTTCTGGTCAACCCTAAAAGCTCATCTGAAGCTATTCACCTCACATCACATAATACTAGGAGGAGACTTCAACGCGGTCCTAGCTACCTCCTTGGACAGGAAACACTCCAAAATACAGACGACCCGCTCACCCCCAACAAGGAGAACAGATAGACTACTACTCACTTTCCTAAACCAAACTGGCCTCCAAGACATATGGAGACTACAACACCCCACGACCCCTGACTACAACTTCTTCTCACACTCACACTCCTCCTACTCCAGAATTGACCTATTCCTTATTTCACCCCCCCCCCATACCCCACATGAAATATTCTTCAATAGGATCAATAGCATGGTCCGACCATGCAGACATATCCCTTACACTAGAGATCCCTCAAACAACAAGGACATGGTCCTGTCGACTAAACCCCACTCTCATGCACAATCCACAATTCAAGATGAAAATCCAACAAGAACTCAAATCCTATTTCAAACCAAATGAGGGCACAGTCACATCCATTGGCACCCTATGGGTAGCCCACAAAACTGTAATAAGGGGGACCCTCATAGCCGAAGCCACAGCACACAAAAAATGCACACTAGGAGAGCTAGAGGACCACCTGGTAGCGCTGCGCACCCTCGAAACAAAACACAAACGTACGCCTTCCCATCTTCTCCGACTACTCCTCATCACTATACGACCACAGCCCGGACCTGAACCAACCACAGCCACACTTCCAACAAAACATAGAAACCTACCTCAGGGAGACTCCTCTTCCTCACCTCACAAACACAGAGAGAACGACACTCTCCTCACCCGCCACGGACAACGAAGTGGCCCTCACGTTGAAAACCATAAAACCTAATAAATGCCCCGGCCCAGATGGCTTTACAGCCCTCTACTATAAAACATTTGCTGATATACTGACTCCTAACCTAACCACTCTGTGTAACTCGCTACTGCAAGGTGACCCCATACCAGCCGACATGCTTCGGACAAACATCTGCTTAATCCCCAAACCAAACAAGACACACCTGGACCCAGGACATTTCCGCCCCATATCCCTCCTGAATGTGGACACAAAAATATTCACTAAACTTCTCACCAACAGAATCCAACCCTTCCTTCCGAAACTCATCCATCCGGACCAGGTGGGATTCATTCCCAACCGACAATCATGCGATCAAATGAGACGCATGATAGACCTCATATGGAGGGCCGTGCATAAAAACGTCCCAACCCTACTTCTCTCGATGGATGCCGAAAATACATTTGACCGCCTGCTCTGGCCCTTTCTCTTCGCAACTCTACAAAAATTTAGATTCCCCGAACCCGTCATTAGGGCTCTCACGACTCTATACAACCAACCCAAAGCCACCCTCCTCCTCCCCAACACTAAAGCACCGGAATTCACTATACGTAACGGGACGAGGCAAGGATGCCCGCTATCCCGACTCCTCTTTGCCCTCTCCCTTGAACCCCTACTCCAAAACATACGCAACACCCCAACAATTCAGGACCTGAAAATTAGACGTGAAGAATACAAAATAGCGGCATACGCAGATGACATACTCCTAACAATTACAGACCCCAATCACTCCCTACCATCATTACTCTCACTTCTACAGACCTACACCAACCTCTCGGGATATAAATTGAACCTCGACAAAACAGAAGCCCTACCGCTAGGCATCCCCCAACAAACCTTAAACCACATAAAACGCACATATAAATTCAATTACAGCACACAGAGCATCCACTACTTGTAGACCTCCCTGCGGACCTCACCAAGACATATACACTAATTTACACACCCCTGCTTCAACAAGCTCACGCGGACCTAAGAAGATGGCAGTCCATGTCCATCTCATGGCTAGGCAGAATAGCCTCGATACAAATGAATCTCCTCCCACGCTTCCTCTACTTAATTCAAGCCCTGCCTATCCCCATAACCAAACAAGACTTCAAAACCCTTCAGACGAAAATAGACAAGTTTATCTGGTCAGATAGGAGACCAAGAATCAAGAGCGCCACAATGTACAAAACCACCAAGACGGGAGGCCTAGGACTCCCAAACTTTTACCTCTACTACCAAGCAGCTCAACTAGCCCAAATCCAACATCTACACGCACCACCAGGCATAGAAATGTGGGTGGACCTGGAACACGACCTGCTAGGAAGGGATCACCCTTCACTCATCCTCTGGCTTCCCAAGAGGGATAGACCAGATGTCCCGCCAACAACACCGGCACTAACAACATCAATACATGTATGGGAAGCGACCACCAAAAAACACCACATAATAAACACACCGTCTCCACTCACATCAGTCCTACGAAACAAACGTTTCCCCCCAGGACTGACTCTCCAAGACTTCACACGCTTTGAGGATAATGGCCTCGTTAGATATCTACACTTCTTCCAGGGCCAACGATTCCTACAATTCCTGGAACTCCCACAACAGGTCCCACTGAACACCTTCGACCATTTCCGCTACCTCCAACTGCGCAGCTTCTTAACCGAACCACAGCAAACAGTAGCTGCCACCATAAAACTCACATCATTCGAAAAAACCTGCCTACAAACACCCATACACAAAGGACAGATATCTACGATCTACACCCTCCTGAGCTCTAACTCCCCAGCAGATGCACTCACATACACAAAAGCCTGGGAAAGAGACATAGGCCCCCCAGACGATCCCACAGACTGGACGGACGAATGGGAAGCAACGGCATCACTCACAATATGCGCAAACCACAAGGAGCAAGCATACAAAACAATGCTACGCTGGTACCTCACACCCCTAAGATTAAAACAAATGGGACCTATGCTGACGGACAACTGCTGGAAGGGATGCGGCCAGCAGGGCACATACATTCATATGTGGTGGGACTGCCCACAAAGCTTCCAAATATGGACAGCGGTCACCAACCTCGCCTCTAGGGTCCTCCACGAGGACATACCTCAGAACCCATGGATATGGCTCCTTTCTAAACCTCACCTCCCACCCCCCTCACACGAGCACAAAACAAACTGGTAGCAAAATTAGCCCTGGCCACAAGATGCACAATAGCAGAACAATGGGGAAACCAAACCACCCCCACCCTGACAACGATGCTCCAAAAAACAACCGAAACCATGTAAATGGACAAACTCTCAGCCCTCCTACATGACACGACCAACCACTATCACAAAATCTGGGACCCATGGATAATAATGGGGCGCCAACTCGGGGTCTAAACGGAGACTCAGAGCAGAACTTCCAACCCGAATGAACCACCCATGACATAAGCCACTCACCCCCACCCCTGACCATAACCACACACCCAACACCCACACCCCCCAACCCGGACACAACAGATAAAACACATAATGCTACACATCTCATACACCCACGACCCTCAAAGATCACCCACAATGCACCAAACCACAAACACGGCACTCTAAAAAGGCAAAACAAATCCACTGAACAAGTTCCAAAAGAGCATATAACATACTCAACCAACTACCCACCTGACCCACAAAAGGCATCACTCACACCCTGACGAGACACCGAAACACCCACACTGGGAAACGCCAGCGCCACGGGATACCACCTAGACACTACTGGGACGCCTCCCCTTTCCCCTCCCCCCCTCTCCCCACTCCCAAGAACACTTCCACTAAAACACACTCAGCACATCCATGCAGCAACAAAGAGACCGACCTATTAACCCACACGCAATGCTACTCGACCACACTACTTAGGAGCCCACAAACCCCCACGTGACAACATAAGGCCTGAGCCTACAAATCCAGAACCACATAACAGCAGGCATATAACGCAATCCACGAAACCACTACACGCATTGAACCGACTCAAGACTTTAGAGATGGACAAACTACCAAAACACCCACACCGTAGATATATGAAACTGATACTTGTCAGCAGAACAAATCCATTGTATAATGGTGGAAACTTACAATATACACTCCTGCAAACAACTACCTCTATGCTACTCCAAACCTAGCATAGAAATCCAACTATATGTGGATGATCCATGACATGTATACCCCAATCATTACATCCACCCTCTCCTTCATATACCCCCCCCCCCACACCTTGAAAACAAAACAAAGAATTACCAAATAGAAAAGCTACATGAGAAATATACACGACAATGCACTCTACCCCCCTCCCTCCTCCTTTCTGTACCCCAACCCAACTCTAAGCCCAAAACTAATAAAAGTTGACATGTACAGTGAATGTATTTACATGCAAGCAATATACGCTGAAACCACAAATGGGAGACATGTACACATGTTCAAAGTGCTTGATTGCCATCATAAAGTCATAAATGCATGTATGTTCTGAGAAAATTGCACCGCAAACCTTAACCCCCTATTTTCCTTTCTGTACCCCCATCACCTCCACATTTTTTTTTCAAAATAAAGAATTTATAAAAAAAAAAATAAAAAATGTTTTATTGCATAAACTATCTTCTAAGGAAAAAAAAGGTTGACAAAATCCTCTCTGGAAAGGCTATTTTAAATAATTTTATTTATGATTTTCAATGCCACAATTTTACATATTTCTAATAGTCTAAGTGGTTCGCAGTAGCACAAAATTTCTAGTAAAGAAGCCAAGTAAACACAAACTCAGAGCCCTCATTCTATTCAGATTAATATTAGACTTGTGCATATAAAAAAAAAAATTAAAAAAAATTAAAAAAAATTAGATTTATCCAAATCGATTCATCTGAAAATTATTTTTGTTTCGGACGAACCAAATTTTGTCCATGTGGCATTGCAGTTCAGACAAATTTAGTCCATGCTATTGTTTTGCATACAATAATAATGTACTAATGAACTTATGTAGTACTAAGAATGTAGTAATGGAAACTTGTGGTGTCTTTGCAGAGGTAAGTTCATACCGGGCACTAGAGAGATGTCCCAACACTCTCCCCTCTATTCACTCCCATGTCATAGTGTTTGCAGTCTTCAAATCGCCATTCTTGGATGCATTTAAAGTGATAAGAAACTTTGCCTCTGCACAATACATTAGCCTCAAACCTTTGTCTTGCAGCTGATGAAGACTCTGGTGGATTATCACTAGTGGCCATGGACAATGTTGCAACATTAGTCTCTACACTAGCACTCGGCTGACGAATGCTAATATAAAAGGTGGTGGTGTTGATAATAAAGACAGTGTGTGACCTACTGGTGGCACTGCTCACAGATGATGTCACCTCTGTCTCCACTCGAGATGATGCAAAAGCAGATATACAAGATCTTGAAGATGCAGGAGGAGAGGGCACAATAGCTGGAGAGAATAGTAGACTATTGATTGTCCTCTGCAGACTCTTCTCTTGTAATTCCCCTAGGTCATAGTTCAGAGTAAGTTCCTCCTGGGCCAGATTAAAATGAACTATGTCTGCGAATTACTGTGTAATATAAGTAAATATTAAATATACTCTCACACTGAAATATCTGCATTTGTAATTTGTAAATAAACAAACAACAATATAACATTTATTTGAAAGGTTATGCATTCCAAACTCACTAAATCAGTACAGTTTCATTTAAAGGGGAATTGTCATTTCTCATGATTTTTAATTTTTTTATTTTTATTTATCCATATGTATTTGGGGTCTGTGTAAAAAAATTAAAAATGTAAATATACAATTCGACACTTATCCATCATGCATATGGGTGTCTCCATCTTAGCACCCTGTCAATCATTGTTACAAACTTTGTCATTTGAACATTGCAGTCATTTTAGAGTAAGTATACAGAGAAGTCGAGAAATGAAGCGACGTTTCTGTTTTGGCTTTGTTTTGTCTGAACTGAACTATGATGCCATTAGCTAAATATCTACTATAAAAGAAAGCAGTGCTTCTCATGAAAAAAAAATGTTAACACAAATTATAGGTTATTGTCAGTGCTTCATTAAATGCTGTAAGTTACAAAGAATTGACAGCTCTTCCTTAAAGGGACACTATAGTCACCAAAACAACTTTAGCTTAATGAAGCAGTTTTGTATAGATCGTGTCCCTGAAGTCTGGATAGTATCTGGGATGTCAGTGTTAGGATGCCTTCCCAAAATGTTCTAACCTTGGGACAGGACCACCACATCTGAGTGTATGTTCCTTTTGCTCCGCAGTACCGCCAGCAGAGGTCTGTGGGTGTCTTTTGCATATGGTACAATTGGACTGGTGTGGTGTAGCACCGGAACATTGTTTTATAGGATTGTTCTTGCATTGTGACGCATTGAGTTGGCCTCCCATATGTCTTGCCAGTCGATACCCTCTAGTGTTTCGCCCAAGTCGGTTTCCCACTTATTAGTGTAATGTAGTGTGCCCATTCCTTAGTGGTGGAACAAAGGTGGGAGTGGTGTTGGGTGATCATGCCCCGTTGGTATTTCTCTGTGTGGCAGATTTGTTCGAAGAAGGTCGGTTTGGTTTTGGCGGCGGTTTTTACAGTCGCTAGGGTAGCGTAGTTTCGGAGTTGGAGGTATCTGAAAAAGTCGGATGGGATTAGGGTTGCTCTGGTTTGCAATTCTGGGAAAGAGACAACGGAGTCCCCTGCGTATAATTGGTGGACTCTCTGGAGTCCAGCGCTCTTGAGGCCCTTGAAGTCCCACGGTCTCATGCGCGGCAAGAAGGCCCTGTTGCGGTATATTGGGGTGAGGGGGGAGGGTGAGGACATTAGTTCATATTTAAGGGCGACCATGTCCCATAGCTGGATGGAGTTGGTGATAGATGGGCATGCTGTTCTTGGTAATGCTCTGTGTTCTCTTGGGGTTCAGATGTAAAATTGTGGGAGGTACAATTTATGAGCAATAACTCCAGATCAACCCATCGTCTAGTTTCTGGGGGGTGGGGGGGTATGTCATAGGGCTATTTGTGTTAGTTGGGCCGCTAAGTATTAAAAGTGTAAGTGGGGTAGTCCAAGGCCGCCTCTCGTCTTGGGGCGGTAGAGGATGTTGCGGGACACTCTGTGCCTCTTGTTCTGCCAAATGAATCGGTCTATTGCCTGTTGTAAGGGAGTGAGGTCTCGTTTTTTGATGGGGATGGGCAAGGCCTGGAATAAGAATAATATACGGGGTAAGATATTCATTTTGACCAAGTGTATTCTCCCGATCCAGGAGTTGGGTTTGTTCGCCCAGGTTTCCATGTCCGATGTGAGTGTGTCAGTCATGGGTGGGTAATTTAGACTATAAAGTGCGGCGAGATTCGCTGGTAGTTTGATTCCTAGATATGTGAGCGATGTGGGTGAGATGTGTATGTGATGGCCTGTGGTGATTTGGGCGATGTCCGCCCGTGAGAGATTCATGGGGAGTGCACTAGATTTCTCCATGTTGACCCTGTAGCCCGATATGGAGCTTTAGGTCTGAAGGAGTGGGATCAATGCTTGCATGGAGGGGATGGGGTTGGTCAAAGTAAGTAGGACATTGTCTGCGTATCCGGAGACTAGGAATTTGTGATCTTCTATCTTGGCCCCAGAGATCGGGGGTGTTCCCTGATTGCCTGGAGGAGTGGTTCCAGGGTTTGTACAAAGAGTAAGGGGGATAGTGGGCATCCTTGTCGGGTGCCGTTGTTTATATTGAATAGTGGGCAAGTCGCTCCCGATATTTTTATTTGTGGCGATACGTTAGTGTAAAGTACCCATACTGCTGTGACATAGGGTGGGGGAAATCTTAGGTATTCCAGTAGCGCGAGCATGTAGGGCCATTTTACGTGGTCGAAGGCTTTTTCAGCATCTAGTGAGAGGGCTAGGGATGGTGTTTTGGCTGCTGCTAGTGTCCAGATTATGTCTATATTTCTGCGTGTGTTCTCGAAAAGCTGCCTACCTGGGATGAATCCTACCTGGTCTGCGTGAATTAAGTGCGTTAGGAATCTGTTTAATCTCCCTGCCAGTACCTTGGCAAAAATCTTGCTGTCATGGTTGATGCGGGAGATGGGTCGGTATGCTTCTGGTAGGGAGTGGTCTTTGCCTGGCTTTGGGAGTAGTATTATGTTAGCTTGTGTCATGTCCCTGGCGGGGGGAGTCCCTGTCATCAAATCTTGGAATAGAGTTTCCAAGTGCGGGATTAGTTTGTCTCGGAAAGGTTTTGCAGTAGCCCCCTTCGAAGCCGTCTGAGCCTGGAGCCTTGTTGCTTTTAAGGGTTGAGATGGCTGCGTTTATGATGAAAACTTTTAACCCCTTAAGGACCAAACTTCTGGAATAAAAGGGAATCATGACATGTCACACATGTCATGTGTCCTTAAGGGGTTAAAGTAAGTTACATCTGAAAGTGAAATTCATTTTATTTCATGCAGGCTGTGTCAGTCACAGCCAGGGGAGGTGTGACTAGGGCTGCATAAACAGAAACAAAATGACTTAACTCCTAAATGACATATAATTGAGCAGTGAGACTGCAGGGGCATGATCTATACACTATACCTGCTTCATTAAGCTAAAGCAGTTTTGGTGACTATAGTGTATCTTTAACTACCCATTTCTTACAGAGAAATGACATGGCTGTCAGAGATTATATTAAAGGGTTTTGAACACAGTGCAAAATTAAAGCATTTTGGAGCGAAAGGGTTACATTTAATAGAAAAGTGTGTTTCTCAAACAAACCAGTGTGTAATATAATTAAATATACTTTTACACTGAAATATCTGAATTTCTGATTTATTTATTTTTGACAGGTGCAATTAGTCATTGCCATGCTGTTATTTTTCTGCATATTATTTCTCAATACAGTTTTTAACGTATTATGAACATCCCTCAGTACTGTTACATGGGAGAAATCTATATGTAAATTGCTTTGAAATTACAATTCAAAACCTGACATTTGACAGAGTACCATCTGCAGATCATCTTCAGCCAAGCACACACCCTCTCCTTTAATTGATGATCCACATGTAACCAATGCACCATGTACTGTCACCGCGAGATGAGTCATGTCTGGATATGACAAGCCTTGTCTCTTTATTAACACAGAGAACACTTAATCAATTGTGTTTCGAGAGGTTCCAACTGCTGTGTTCCCATCTTGACGTGCCAAAGAGATATTACAACTAATTAATGGACCATATATAGATGTGTCAAGATCGAGCACACAGAAATAGGTCAACTATAGAATATATGTACAGGATGGAACCTTAAATAAAAATAATTGGAAGAATTAAAGGATTGCACAGGTAAATGCAATCAACCTCAGAAAGGTAACAGAAATACATCCTATCAAGACCTAAAGCCAAGTCAAGGATTATGGAAATCATCAGGACCATGAAACAAGCAGGGTCAAAAATCATAATTAAATGCTATATAAATATACTGGAGAGAAAAAGGACAGACTAGTGAAATTTTATGAAGATGGCTCTCTCAGTTTCTGA